ACATTTTCAGTGTAGGAAAATGTTAACTTTAACCTCTGATAATGGGATCCCACTCTGTAGTAGGTGTTGCCTCATCAGGTATGCTTTGCCTTAAACCCGCATTATTTACTGATTGCAATATACTGCTCACTGTAGAGATTGGGTATTCCCACAGGACCACTGGTGGTAACCCAGTGGTATATATATATGTTTCTAGATATCAGTAAGTTTCAGTCAGTGGTGAATCATCACTCATGAACTTCATGAGTAAGGCAGTAGGGGATTTTTGCCCATTCCTGCTGACCCTTTGAATGAATATATTGGGGTTGGTCTGCTTTTCAAAATAGGGAATCACAAACACTCATTGCACTCTCTCCAGTGTGACATTCTTCTGGACTCCCTTACATGTTTACTTCCATTAGAGCACGAGAGTCCTTATCACTCCCAGTTCCCAGTCACTGGGGTGGTATACCATTCAGGCTTCCTCCTGAGTGAGCTTAGAAATTTACTTTACCATACATACTCATCATTATCCACTTAGTCAGAAGAGGGCAAAGCTGGTTTTCCTCCTGTTTCCCCTGGATGCTTTTTCTCATGTAGACAGCTGTCAAAATTAAAATAAAAAATAAGTTGGAGCAGGTTCAGCTTATGTGGGATCCACCTTTTAATACCAGATTTGGGATGACACCACCATGTTCCTACATTTCTGTGTAGTATAGGCCCCTCTTCTCATTATTTCTGGTTGCAAGAAGTTCTTTCCTGCTCCAAATGTTGAGTTTGGGGGACTTCATCTGCTTCGTAATGCCAGCTATAAGCCATACATACACTGTTCCTGCATTTGAGTGAATGTTTAATGTCCTCTTCCTAATTCTGGATGCAGGATGTCTCTTCCCTGCACTTACGCTTGAGTGATTTCTGCTCTTCTTACAGTTGAGTTGAGGTAAAGTCACGACCCTGTAATGTCAGTTTCAGTTTGTTGTACATCTTGCTCCTATGGTTGTTTTGGAAGTTTATCTGGTTTCAACCGAAATCTAACTTCCTCTTCATAATTCCAGTTGCTTGATGTATGAGACACTAGTTACTTATGGTTGGGGTTGATGAGTCCATATAATATGGTCCACATGCCCTTGCCACTATGTTTATGTTGCCATATATTACATTATGTTTTTATATATATATTTTTTGATCCTCAATCTCCCAATGCCTAGGACGAGTTATGAAACATCGTTTATCCAGTTGAGGTTGTGAATGTACATAGCTAATACTTTTTATATTTTACTATGGATTGCACCTTTCAGAACAAATTGCACTTGTGCATATCCTTTTTTGCCTGTATCAGATTAATTTCCTACTTCAGTAGCAAAGAGCATATCTGTTCCAGAAGTAGTGCAATACCTCACAAGTGTGCTTCATTTTCCTCTCGGAGCACAGCCGTTTACTCTCAGTGGTCACTTTCCACTTGGTTTTCAATGTTGTATACCTATGCTGACCTCTCCACTTTCCCACCCTTTCTCCCCACTGCCAGTGTTTTTTTTTTGGAGCCTGCCAATTCTTGAAAGTGAAGACTGAGTGGGAATAACAGAGGGAGCTATCTGTGCCAGTATAAGTGGCGCAGTAGTATTGGTGGAGAATTGTCACATGATATGTACATGTTCAAAAATGGCATGAAAGTGATGGGTACATAGACTGGTGTATTGATTGTGAAAATTGTTTAGCAATGTTTAGAGAGCAGAAGAATAGTGAGATAGCTTTTTGTAAGAGGAGGTAAGTACCTATCAGAAATACATTTTCAGTGTAAGAAAAATGTTAACATTCAATGACCAAAATAAGAGTTACCTATCCATTCCAACAATTATTTTGTTAGGGTGAACCTGAGGGAATATGACAGAATTCTTAACTTCTTTATTTGAAGTTTTTTTTCTTAATATCTTTGTTTATGTATCATTTTCCCCATACCATTCCCATAGCCTGGCTGTGACTGTACATATTAAAATATTTGATGCTTTTGTTGCAGTTTAGCTTAAATGTGATGATTTGCATATAGAAATGGTACATAAAGCTGACCCTATTTGGGAGGTTTACATTACAAGACTTTTCAATGTTTTGATCTACTATAATGCAATTATAATAACATGCAAGGTGTAAAACTGATATCTGTAATAATGAACTGTATTGTTAAAGCAATGAAAGGTGTGATTCCACCAGAGAAAAAAAATATTTATCTCACAACTGGTTATCAGAGGTAATGAAGGAAAATTAAAACAATTTGTTACTGGAAGTAATTTGTGAACATAGTGGTCCATTGCAATTTGAGTAGTAACCTCACTTAGAATTATAAACAAGTTAATTCACATCGATTCAAGTCTGCAAAAGCAACACAAGCTTCTCTCAAAGCATGTAGCTAAGTAGAAGACTAACTTCTGAAAGCTGTAATGTGGTATTTGGCATATTACAAGTATATTAATTGGACAAAGTATATGTCTGCTTTAATGTGTGCAAGCAATTTATTATTGTTCTTCCTATAATAAAACATTTCTAAAATGTTACAAATCAGTCACAAAAGGGATTTATGGTGGTTGCAATTTAGAGTTTTGATCATAAATCAAATATACCAACAGTTGAAAACATTATCAGTATGATACATACATACTATCAGGATAACATGCTGACCTTATTATTACGTTAGGAAATATCATCTTTGTATGGATTGGATGGAGTAAGATGTGGTCCCGTGAAGACAGAGCATCAAACAACACATCCAAGTCAACGTGCCATTTTTCTGCAAAATTCAAGTAGTATAAACATAATTTCATCCAGTAGCATTTGCAGACATTTAAATTGGACTTTTGTACATTTTAATTACTCAAACAGGCAAATGGAAGTCATCATCCTTGAATGGTTGATGGTCTTTAAAAACGAAGTAAAGAGGAGGGAAGGGGGACAACATTGATATTGGAATATTGTGCTAAAGCCTCCTGCAGTAGCAACTGTGTTGCAAAGTAATTGTCCATAATCAGAGCTGGTGAAGGACATAATCTGAAACTTTCATTTAAAATCATTAAGCTTTCAAGATTTTCATTGATCTAAAATGTCAGCCTATTTCAATATCTAATACCTCACATTTCAACATGTTAATTTAATTTGATAATTTTCTGATAAACATGGATCAAATAACTGATGTACCATTCAACATATGGGGAATCTAGATCTGAAAGCCAACCCCCCCCCCCCATGTTATTCTGGTCAGAGTTGTCAGGTTGAGAGAAAAAATCCCTCATTTATGGGGGAAAATCAAACAAACAGGGGAATAGGGTTGCAGGTTTCATGAAAGGATGTGAGGGGGGAATATTTTTCAAATGGGGGGGATTTAGATAAAAATGAGGAAATTTTATGTTCTCTAATTAGATTCTTAGAGATGTTTTATTCATTTAACTACTTATTTTCAAACAGTGAATGATGCAGTAACCAATTGCACAAGCTTCAGCTTTAACAATAAATCCCACATTAGAAGGATATTAACCATATCAGGACTTAATGGATGGTATTGTGTCATTCCTGTTTGTTTTGTTTTCTGATTTTTAAATTACCTAACCTTGTTGCATGAAATTTATTAAACACTTTCTACGTAATACGTAGTTTGTGTTTACAAAAATAATACCAATTTGTTTTAATATTTGTATAGTATTTTTAGGCTGTGAATTTCAGAAATTTTTTTGGGAAATGCTTTTTTTTATATTAAAAATACTTCTTTTCATCTTAAAAATTCTGCTTTTGGTTATTGTGTGCCTAAAATCTTTTGAATCAATCCAACAATTTTGTATTGATGATTTCGTTTATTCACTCATATTTTATATTCTTAATTATATATTGTATGATATATTCCTAATAACAGTCTGTAAAAACAACAATAATTATGTTTTTTATCCTCATTCTTGAACAATGCATCATACACATGTTCATGGGGGAAGATTGCTGAAAACAACTGAATATGGGGTATTTTTTATTGACTAATAGTTGGCTCTAAGGGTACATGGCAGGTTTGGTGACAATTGGTCCAACACTTTGCTAGTTATCAGCAGAGACAGACACACACACGTAGACCTGTGTGTAGATAATGGTTTAGAATCGGGGTTTTTCTCATACATTAACGTAATTGACTCTAGAATAAGAAAAGGAAATATCATGAATAAATATTGAAATTTATGAATATATATATATATATATATATATGTGTGTGTATCATTTATAAATGTGCTATATATCAACAGGACCTAAATTTGAAAGGATCTGTATAGGAGCATAGAAAAGATTAATCCAAAATAGCTTGCCATTACCTATGATACAAATTAAAGTTTTCAATTTACCTATTGTAAGTTATTTGGTTGTTTGTATCTATTTTCCCAAGTTTCTTTTCTATATTTTTTTTCAATATTGGAAACAAGTTAATGTTCTTGGTATTTAAAATGTAATGCTGATAATTACTTAAAGAATATCTTCATACATAAAAAGAAATGCATGTATTTTTTACTTCAGTAGCTACACTTGCTAAAACTCATGTTTCATTACCTTTAGTGGACAAGACACAGATAACCCATTGTGTAGCTTTGTGCTTAACAGTAAACAATACAAACAGTTTTTATCCTTTGATCATATAAAAGTATTGCTTAAGGTCTTTAGTCTCTGTTGAATTGAATTAATAAAAGAAGAAGAGTTTCATAACTTGTTTAACTTTGATGTAGAGTAATGATTTTAATGATAAAATTATAAAACTGCTTAATATAAGGTGCATATCACTGTTGTAAATATACTGTACGACTAGAGTAGAGTATGTTTTTAACATTTTTCGATCATCATGAATTACACTTACCCCTTGAAACATTATAAGAATTCAGCAAATAAGTGAACAAGTGACTGCTTTAAATGGTTTTTTAATGCATAAATATATATGTATGTGTATATTTGTGTGTGTGTGTGTGTGTGTGTACAAAGTGATATTGTTAATTGAGTTGGTTTTACTCCAGAGTGCAAAAACCTTTGCCAAACGCTCCTTAAAAAAAATCCCCGTTATTGGTTGGGGATGGGTATTTGCTGAGATGGTATTCCTCGAACGAAACTGGGAAAAGGATTCACAGAGTTTGGGCCACAAACTAGATGAATTGGTATCCTATCAGGACCACATATTGGTAAGAGTAAAAATATGTACTTTTTTTTAAAGTAAAGTGAGTGATCATGTTACAGTCCTTTAGTTTATTAGGTTAAAATGGGAAAGTTCCATATTTTTATGGGAAATTATAACAAAAAAAAGTACTTTTCTCCTGTAGTGTCCTGTCTTCACTATTGCTCTTACACTGGCATCTTTTTAAGTTGGAATTTAAATAAAATGTTTTCAAGAAATATTGCCAATACCAGAAGTAAAGATTATTAGCTAATTAACTTGTATTTGGCAGTTCTGCAATGAAAATCTGTATTTCACACAAGGTTAAGTTTACTGTCTGGTTATGTGTTTTAATAACAGTGTCTTGTGGATTTTGTGATCACATAATTTTGCTATGAACTGCTGTTGTTTAATAACCTTGATTTTGTTTATACACATATACTTTTGTAGAAAGTATAAGTTATTGGTTCATTAACATAATTTATAATTTCAACGTTTCAGTATTGTGTATAACTATGGGGAACACTGTATGTGTGTGTAGTAGGTTGAAAATTCCAAATATGCTATTTCTGGAACACTTTTCAGTCTGATTATCTGTTCATAGTAAACACTAAAACCATTTCAAGTTTTGTATTATGTATTGATAAAAACTTAAAATCAGTTTATGGAAAAGTGTTACCTTTAACTGTGGACTGAACTATGAAATAAAATAAAAGAGTAATTAAGTAACAAATTTTCCAATAAAAAAGTATCAAAAGAAATTCATTAGGTATAATTTTAATGTTTGGACAACAAGGCAAGTTACCTTTTTTAAGACGGGGCTAGACCACAAAGGTTATGTATAAAGCTTATAATAAACTACAGTTTGTGTTAAACAAAGTTAAGAATAATACTTTATAAGACATTTCTATAAACATAAATAAAATCATGACCTATATCTCCAGAATGTAAATTTATTAGCTCAATATTTTGTTATTACAGCTTCGTCAGGAGCTGTCGATATCCTAGAAGTTCCCTAATCCAGTTAAATCTAAATTGGAACATAAATAAATCATTCATAAATCGAATATTGATACTCATGTTTAGAAAGTTCATATTATAATAAAATAACATCAAATATTGATACACATGTTTAGAAAGTTCATATTATAATAAAATAACATCAAACATTGATACACATGTTTAGAAAGTTCATATTATAATAAAATAACATCAAACATTCTTCAATTTATATTGTTAAGACAAATCAAACCAACAATGCTAAGTAAATAATGTGTAAATCAATAAATAAACTATTAACATTGTTGGTTTTAGGATAGAATACGTTAATATCCAAATCATTTATTCATATTTGTATTGGTTAGTATTTTTCCATCTTATTATATAAGTACATACATAAAACAATGTCTGAAAGTATATTTCAATCTTTATAAGTGTGTATAGAGACTTCGTCAAAGTTCAACATATTAAAATTATTAAAATGTCATTAACGTCTCTACACTAAAGGCCATCTTTTGTATTTGTTCAATTTAGGTTTATTTTTCTTGATTAAAATGGATTCTTTAATTTTTCTCTTCAGAAAATTATGACATTTAGATAAGATCTTGACATCTGAGAAGATGCTATGCTCTTGTGACAGGCCATGTTCTTTTCCATAATGTTCTGCAATAGTACTGTTAGTATTGAGCTTTTGAATGTCACGCACCTGTTCAGATATATATGTATGTCATATATACGTACTAGAGTATCTGCCACAAGTTACTTCATAAACAATATTTTTACTATGGCATTTATCATGTAGTCCATATTTAGTGGCTTTACAGTTATTTTTCATGTGAGTTTCTTTCTTTTATGCTGAACTAGTTTTTATGATTTAAGGGAGATGCCTGTTTTTTGTACCATTTTAATAGGTAAGTCTAATGCTCTAATTACTCTCTTTAGTTTTGTGGTGATATTATCACTTATATATGGAATCACCCAAGTAGCCTGAGCTTTAAATGTGTTTTCTTTATTTATACAGTTCAAAATAACATATCTGTTTTCTTTTTGCCTATCAAAATTTCTTATTATGTTTTCTATAAATTCCTGATGACTCTTTAAAGAAAAAATGCCTATCCACTAAAGATTTTGACTCGTATTATTTTGGGTTCTGGTATGCCTCACCCCTCATGTTTCTGAGTAACATGCTTTGGCCTTTCATCATTCTCCAAGTCCTTATTTGGATTCTCAATGTTTGAGCCATCTTTTACCTTTATGGGGTTGTAATCCTGAGCTTCTCTCTCTCTTTGTCTCAGGCCCAGTGTTTGAGGATTTGTTCTTATTCTCACTCATGTTTTACATTACCTCACTTCTATGCACCTGTTATCAGAGGCTTTTTGCCATTTGCCCAATAATTTTTCAGGGAACTCGGTTCTCTTTTGTGGCTGACTTTGGTTAGACTTTTCTTGTCTGCCGTTTCACTTCCTACATGGCTTATTTGTTGTTTGGACTAATTGGGGAGAGATATGCTACTTACAGGAATTTGTCTTCCCCCATCTTTCCTTTGGGATTTATGGGCAGCTCCTTTTTTTGCATGATACAGTTTTATGGGGTTGCTCTGATTCTTTGGAGTCATGGGTTGATGTGACCAGGTTACCTAATTCTCTCTCTTCTCTTCCTTGGTGAATCATTTATCCCAGCCTTCCACCACCTCTTCTTCTTCTGATCCTGTAGTTGTTTCATGTCCTTCCCAGTCCACACCTAGCCCTTTACCTGTGTCTAGTCATTCAAGCTCTTATCCATGTGTCAACCACATTGAGCTCCCTTTTACCTCTATGGGAGAATTGGTAGTTGTATCGGATTGAGCTCCCTTTTACCTCTATGGGAGAATTGGTTGTTGTATCGGATTGAGCTCCCTTTTACCTCTATGGGAGAATTGGTAGTTGTATCGGATTGAGCTCCCTTTTACCTCTATGGGAGAATTGGTAGTGGTATCTGATTGAGCTCCCTTTTACCTCTATGGGAAAATTGGTAGTGGTATCGGATTGAGCTCCCTTTTACCTCTATGGGAAAATTGGTAGTGGTATCGGATTGAGCTCCCTTTTACCTCTATGGGAAAATTGGTAGTGGTATCGGTGACTACACTGTGGGTTCAGGTCCTGTATGGGTCAGGCTTCACTCCTGTGTGGAGGTTTGGGAACTTTTTGCTACAGATCAGTTGGTCATTCTCTTCACTTCAAGTCTCCTCCTTTCCCCCCCCCCCTACTTCCGTTCACTCCTTCAGACAGTCCAGTTTCTTGCATTTGTCTTAGTGAGGCTGTGTCAGAGCTTCTGCTCAAAGATGCCATTGAATCTTTCCATAGCTGACTGTCACTCATGAACTATCATGAGTAAAGTAAAAGGGGATTGCTATCCTTGATTGAATAAATCTGGAATGGCCTGCTTTTCAAATAGGATTTTGCAGTCACCCATTGCACATACTTCAGTGTGTTGTTCCTCCAGACTCTACCACATTTCAAGTTGAGTATGGTAGTCCTTACCATTTTCCAGTTCCAGATTATGGTTACAGGGGGGCATACGTTGGAATGAACTGGACAAGCCGATACTGGATTCTCTTTGTAATACTGATTTAAAGTTGATAGTGCCATGTTCCTAGTGTTGAGACCAGTCAACAGCCCCATCTTGGTAATGCCGGCTGCAGGATGTCTTTTCCCTCTTTCTTTCAATTGGGTTCAAGGAACTTTGCCTCGTAATGCCGGTTACAGAATGTGTTATACCCTCTTCCTACAGTTGAGCAAATGTTCCAAATTCTATTGGAGTAGTTGAGTTCAGTGCCTGATCATAATACTGACTACAGGATGCATCCATGTTCTTACGATTGGGTTGACTATGGACACTGCCCCATAATTCCGAGTTCAGTTTGGTATATTTCTGGACACCAACGATTGATGTAGAAGTTTGATTGATTCTTGTTGTTTGCTTACTTCTATCATTGTAATTCCGGTTGCTTACATTATGACAGACACTCTGCTTACTTATGGTTGGGATCGTTACCATGTTCCTCCTCTGTTGATTCTTTGGTACTGTCCTCCACCTTGTAATACAGGATGTGGAACCTTGTCTGTACGATGGGGGTTGGGGTTGTTCCAGAAGTGTTGCAGTCCCTCTCTGTTGTGCTTTCATATAATTGCTTAGGTTAAAGCTCTTGAGAACCAGGGGAATGAGGAGTGGCAAAACAACAATAGTCAGAGAGAAGGACTTGAAGACAAAGGTCAACGCTCTGAGTAACTTTTTCATGGTCAACAGCCTCTAGTTTTTAAAATTATGGGCATTAAATTAGACACTTTCTCTCTCCAGGGATCCAGGCCAAGAGAACAAGACAAAAGTTATTAAAGAAACATACAAACAGCTGTGGGTTGTCAATGACATTGCAGATTGCAGTGAGGCCCTTATGGAAGAATACATCTGGCTTCACACCATAGACAAGGACCAAAATCAGTACCTTATTTTAGTGGTCAGGGAGCACAGAAAGAAATTTCCTGATGCAAAGAGTGTACCATCATGAAATCTGTAGAAGCAAATGTTGTTTGATTCTGTAATATGGAAGCATACTAGCAGCATCAATCAATTCCTTTTTCTGTGGTTCTTTAGTAAAGTTGCTTGTCATACAGTTTTTTCTTCCTATTTCCCAAATATTTCAGAGAAATTTCCACCATGTATGCAGCATTTTGTTTGTTTGGGTAGATGTATTTGTGACCCACATTAAAAAGCAGAGCATCATGGGGAGAAACTTCAAGGGTCAGTAGTGACTCCTTTAACATGCTTTGGTTCTCTTAAAATTTTGTCTACTGTAGTTTCTAGTTAATCCTCATAAAAATTGGGTGTCCCAAAAGCATTTATTACTTTTAATTTTTACCCCCTGGATATAGCAATGATGTTTGCATAACTGTCTCTTTGTTGACATGTACTTTTGTGTGGTAATATAGTTTTAATTGAATTTCACAGGTTACTTTCCTTGGGGATGGGAAACATTCTATTGAGTTTGATGTTAAGAGAACAAAGGTCAAGGTTATACTTGACTAAGGAAGCACATTATGCTAATATAAAATAAGTTGGCAAACAACAATCTATAAGCATAATGAATTTATTTATTTTGCAGGGAAAATACTACATATAGTATATTTTACACAAAAAAATTTAATTGTTTATAAATCAATGTTTGCCAACTTATTGTTAGGTCAAGGTTATAATTTTTAGAAATAAGAATTTGGGTTTTAAACCTCATGTCACTTCCATTGGGGATGCGATTGAAAGGTCAATAATCAAGATCATCATTTCATAAAAATAAATTTAGTTTCTGGTTTAAAATTAACGTAACAAAAGATACACACTATATTTTTCAATACACAAGTACCAAAAAAAAACATAAATATGATTGTAAGAATTAGCCATTGTTTTTTGTTGTTATTTTACTGTTTTATCAGAATGATTTGTTGATATTATAGTACAAAAATATTATATATTAATTCTTAAATATTTTCCAGTTGCTGGTGTTTGCTGAAGGTACAAGATTTACAAAAGACAAATACTTGGCAAGTTGTGAGTTTGCTGAAAAGAACAACCTTCCACACCTTAAATATCATCTTTTACCTAGGACAAAAGGTTTCATTTTTACTGCTCAACATTTGAAAGGAAAAAGTAAGCAGTATTTTTTGGAAAATAAATATTGTTTGAACTGTAACTTTCTTTTATTTTAGTTCTCATTACTGTCCTTTCCAAGTTTAATATTTTGGCTATAAGGTTATAGAAACATTTTTAAGTCGGATATTTGTCAAGCATATTTTAGGTGGTTTGTTTAACTATTATACGTGATGTACGTTTTTTGGGGGTGGTTAATTAAAGTATTCCAAAACATGACATTAATTTCATGATGACCTAATCCACTGTTATTATGTTCATAATGGCCTGAGTGTAGTGTTACCATCACCCTGTTCATTGTGGCCTTACTACAATGTTACCATTAACATGTTCACTGTAGCATTAGTATGGTGTTGCCATCATTATGTTGTTACACTTGTTAGGTTCATTATGGCAATAATGCAGTGTTATCCTCATTATGTTTATTCTGGCAATTGTACTTAGTTACCATCATTATTCTCATTCTGGAATTAGTACTGTTTTACCATCATTATGTTCATTGTGGCTTTAAAACAGTGTTATGCTCTCTATGTTCACTGTGACAATACTAGAGTAGTGTTACTATCATTATGTTCAATGTGTCATTAGTGCATTATTACAATCATTATGTCATGGTGACATTAGTTTATTGTTACCATTATGACATTCATTGTGGAATTAGTATTGTGTTACCATTGTTATGTTTGTTGTGGCATTAGTACATTGATATCTTCATTATGTTTGTTGTAGCAGTAGTAAAGTATTATCCTTGTTAGGTTTGTTATAGTGATTGTGCAGTATTATCATTGTTATGTTTATTGTGGCTTTAAAACAGAGTTACCTTCTTTATGTTGATTGTGGCATTAGTACAATGATATCTTTATTATGTTTGTTGTAGCAGTAGTAAAGTATTATCCTTGTTAGGTTTGTTAAAGCGATTGTGCAGTATTATCATTGTTATGTTTATTGTGGCATTAGTAAAAGGTTCCCATTAATATGTTCATTGTGGCATTTGTACATTCATTAGTACCATGTTTCCATCATCAAGTTCAGTATGTCATTTGTACATTCATTAGTATAGTTTTACCACTATAGTGTTCATTATGACTTTATTACAGTGTTACCTTCTTTATGTTCATTGTGGCATTAATATAGTACTGTTACTATCGTTATGGTCATTGTGGCATTAGAACAGTGTTATCATCATTATGTTCATAGTGGCATTAGTACAGTGTTATCATTGCCATATTCATTGCGGTATCATTACATTCACATCATGTTCATTGTGGATTTTAGTACAGCATTACCATCACTGTTTATTGTGGCATTAGTGCATTGTTTCCATCATCATGTTAATTGTGCATTATTTCCATCATCATGTTAATTGTGCATTATTATAGTGCCAATATTATAATGTATGTTCTGGAATCAGTACAGTGTTACCATCATCATTTTCATTGTTGCATTAGTACAGCATTACCACCATAATGAATGTTGGGGCATTAATAGAGTTACCATCATTATGTTCATTTTGTCGTTAGTATACTAAATTATTACCACTGTGTTCATTGAGACATTAGGACAGTGTTTATGTTCATTGTAGAATAAGGACAGTTTTTGTTGTGTTCACTGTAGAATTAGGACAGTGTTTGTTGTGTTCACTGTAGAATTAGGACAGTGTTTGTTGTGTTCACTGTAGAATTAGGACAGTGTTTGTTGTGTTCACTGTAGAATTAGGACAGTGTTTGTTGTGTTCACTGTAGAATTAGGACAGTGTTTGTTGTGTTCACTGTAGAATTAGGACAGTGTTTGTTGTGTTCACTGTAGCATTAGGACAGTGTTTGTTGTGTTCACTGTAGCATTAGGACAGTGTTTGTTGTGTTTTCACTGTAGCATTAGGACAGTTTTTGTTGTGTTTTCACTGTAGCATTAGGACAGTTTTTGTTGTGTTTTCACTGTAGCATTAGGACAGTTTTTGTTGTGTTTTCACTGTAGCATTAGGACAGTTTTTGTTGTGTTTTCACTATAGAATTAGGACAGTTTTTGTTGTGTTTTCACTATAGAATTAGGACAGTGTTTGTTGTGTTCACTGTAGAATTAGGACAGTGTTTATTGTGTTCACTGTAGAATTAGGATAGTGTTTATTGTGTTCATTGTGGCATTAGTACAGTTTTGTTACAGTCATTATATTAATTGTGGCTTAAGTACAGCATTACTATCGCTATGTTTATTATGGCATTGTTATCATCATCATGTTCATTTTATACTCATTAGTAAAGTCTCTTTGTGATTATTCTGGCATTAGTTCAGTGTTACCATTGTTAAGTTCATTATGGTGTTAGTCCAGTGTTGCCATCATTGTTGCATTAGTACAATATTATCTTTGTGTTTATTGTGTCATTATTACAGCATTAGTTATGTTCATCATCACAGAAGTACAGTATTACCATGGTTATATTCATTGTGCATTAGTATTGTGTTACTATCATGTTAATTTTAGCATTAGTTTGGTGATACCTTCATTATGTTCATCGTGGCATTAATATAGTGTTATCAACAATATGTGTACTTTGGTTTTACTACTGTTATACAATCACCACATTCCTTTGGGTATTACTGCAATGATACCATGACAACATTCCTTTGGGTATTACTGCAGTTATACCATTATCGTGTTCATTGGGCCATTACTACAATAATACCAACATCATGTTCATAGGGGCATTATAGTGTTGCTTTCATTATGTCCATTGTGTCTTTAGTACAGTGTTATTATCATTGTATTCATTGTGGCATTAGTAATGTTGCCATTATAATGTTAGTTACATCATTATTGTACAGTATTACCAGTTTTATGTTTATTGTGATTTAGTGCTGTTATTGTCTTTGTTTATTGGGACATTAGTAATGTTATCATGTTCAATGTAGCATTAATACATTTGTTGTGTTCATTGTGGATGTTGTACAGTGTTTCCATCATTATATAGTGTTACTCTTGTTATATTCATTTTGGCTCTAGTACTGTGTTACCATTATTATGTTTATTGCGGTTTTATACAGTGTTACCATTGTCAGTAATTAGCCAAGCAATGGCTTTTGAGAAGGAGACTTTCATAACTATAGGTTAAGTAATATAAGAGTTGTAGCATAGCACTCTGATTAAAGTATGTGTGTTTGTTTTTACATTTGATTATTTTTGAGTTTGAAAACAAGTTGTATATCTTTTAGTACCTGCAGTTTATAATGTACAGCTAGAGTTTCCACAAAATGGCTCACCTCCAACAGTTTTCAGTATCCTTAAAGGGAAAAGGATTAATGGTGACTTGTACGTGGAAAGAATTCCTCTTAATGATATTCCAACAAACTCTGAAGAGGCCTGTGCAGATTGGTTGTACAAACTTTATCAAAGAAAGGTAGAGAAGTATACTAAAATACAATCAATATTGTATTCTACAGTTCCTTTATTAAAGTGAAGTGCAGTGTTTGGGTATATAGACTGAAAAATGAAATGTTATCACATAGTAGTTATTGTATGTGTAGTTATTACATCTTAGAAAGTAGAGCAATTAAATTTTGTTTGTTTTGGGTTATTAGAAGTTCATAAATTGTCATGCCAATGACCAAAACAGTTATAGTAAGATTATAAGAGTTTTTACATCTCATTTTCTTAGAGTGTATAAGCTTATGAAATGCATTTGAAATGTTCATAAATTATAACTTTTGCTTTTAGATTTCAGTCAAATTATAGATTTTCAGTGAATCAGATTTTCTTTGTTTTTATTTCAGTGAAATACAGGTGGTTTTAAGTGTGTTGTAGCAAGTGTTTAATTTATTTTTTATCGTGTAAGCATTTCATAACAGTTTTGAGTTTTCAAAAATATTGAAATTCAAAAATAAATTAGAATATAGGTTTAGTTTTAGTATTGACCTTATCACTAAATAACCACAGTGTTTTAAAAAGCAAGGCCCTTTGAGAAATAACTGGCATTTTCTGTCTGAGCAGGATGAACTGACAGATCAGTACATGAAGACAGGAACATTTCCTGGACATAAAATTGAACCAAAGCCTAGAATTGCTACCTTAGTTAATTGGGTCATGTGGTCAGTGGTGGTAGGAACTATGCTGATGTACATCATATGGAAGATTTATATGTCAGGCAATACCAGCATTGTCATGATTGCCAGCACACTTATTGTCTTTGGTAGGTTTACTAGTGGACTCAGCAGTTTGTTGTGTCTATTACATTATGAAATTTTATTTGTTATATCTCAGTTGATTAAAATATGTTGTACATTTGACAAAACATAACGTCAACTCTAAGTTAGAAGTATGTTATTCTTGAGGTTTTGTGATAATTAAAAACAAGTGGTGCAATTCAAAGTGTTTTTATATAATTAAAATTGCATAGTTTTTGTCACATTATTTAGTATTAATACACTTCAGCCACAATTGGCCCTTTAGTATGAAATATGTTAATAGTAACTATTGCTATTTGTACAAAAGAGAAACTTAAGTTTAGTGTATTATATTTAACAGTATATTCTATGGTAAAAACAGAAAATATCATGATACCCTCTGTGTTAGTTAATAATTACCCTATAGTTTTACTCTTTGTTTAACATAAAATTTTTTATATCTGTAATCTTCCAACAGTCTTTTCATGTGTAATACAATAAAGAATGAAATTAAAGCAAACTGGATCCTTTAAAAAAAAAATCAATATATAGCTATCAAGAATAACTTCTATATTTGGTCTAACAGCTTTTTCAAAAAGTTAATCTTATATGAATGACAAAGTAGTTGACTTAGTACAACTAATGCTGATACAATACACAAGTCAAACAATATATTCTTAAGTCTGTTGACACTATCATATTCCAACAATACAAAACTGTATCATAAACTTACCTGATACAGTATACTTTAGTGAGTATCCCAGTTTTCCAATTTATTTTACGTGGTATATACTGCATGGAATACTATTAACCAAATTTTTTTCCATTCATTACTAAAATGTAGGTCTCATAGAATACAGGTACTCTTTTAGCATTCATTTCATAGTTTAAATGTCTAGTGAACTAAATATATTTTTGTATCTATGAAGTAAGAAAAGTTTTTCTACTGGTAACTGGTTGTTTATGTTTTGTTAGAATTAGCCTATGTCAAAACCATAATGCACAATAGCAGATTTTGTCTGAAGTGGGACCATATGCATGTAAACAGTTGATTTGTTAAAGTTAATTAAACATAGTGAACTTTAGCATAGTTGGCTTTGTGGGTTGGTGTGGCTTTATGTACACCACATGAAGTGGGAATTTGTCAAAGCAGCAAAACGTATTCAAGACAGAAATTTTGTGCTGTCTTTAAACGAGATTTTAAGTTTGATACAGAGCCCCAGTATTTGCCTGCAGTTTATTTGTACCTGTGTACTTTTTCAGTTATATATGATGTATAATATTTCCCTTTTCAATGTAAATAACAATCAGTGACCAGTATATATACCTATTAGCTATAAAACAGTTCTCTTTGAATGCTTAAGCAATTTAACCATGTGTATGGTTTCAATTTTAAGCTGATCCATTTAAAAAAAAGTCAAAATGAGGGAAAACACACAAGGATATAGCCTTGGTGCAGAGTTTGAAGTAATATTTCTGTTGTAAAATTTTACAAATTGTTCATTAGGCATAAAAACTAAGCAAAAAATGTCAAACTATTTAGATATTCTGTATTTTAAACATTGTGGGATGTTTAAATACTCTATACTTTGAATACTGGAATATATTTACTCTATACTTTCAACACTGAGGTACATTTAACCTGAGATTAGATTTTACTCTAACAAAATTACTTGTGACTGAGGTTATAATGGTAGCTGTAGGTGCATCATTTCTGCAGACTTGTGTATTTCTTAGATGTCCTGTTTTATTTTTGTTACATAGAAACACAATAGTATATGTATTAGATATTCGTTTTTTTATATTACTTTGAAGCATAACATAATGCAGTTTTACTATATACATGTATTAGATGTTGTGCATGTTATTTCTGGTACACTGAAGTCTAGTGCAGTTTTACTATATATATGTAAACATCTAATACATATATATAGTAAAACTGCACTAGACTTCAGTGTACCAGAAATAACATGCACAACATCTAAGTGCATGTTATTTCTGGTACACTGAAGTCTAGTGCAGTTTTACTAAATATATGTTTTAGATGTCCTTTCTATTATTTCTTTTACATTAAAACACAATATAGAATAGTTGGTAAATCGGTAAATGTTTTTCGATAGAATTTATAATAAGATATTGAGTATACTTTTAAAGATATGCAACAATTTATTGCATTAGCAAAGACTGGTGATTTTGTTAAGTAACCCCCAATGATTAATATTTAAATTATTCAGATTAATACGAAGAGTGGCACAAACATTGTTGAGTTTATTAAAATATACACAAACATTAAAATTGAAGTTATTCAGATTAATATGAGAAGTACTGATTCACACTTTCACAACATAGGTGCATGAAACTGTAATAATGTAGAAAAAAAAGTTTCATAACTCCTTTTAAAAAATTTATGAAATAAATGAAGTGAACTATACATATCTTTTCCCATTTTAGGGCGTAAAACACTTCTGAAAGTAACTGAATGTGTGGTTACATTTTTATTTTGATGTATGGAGCCTTCTTGCTCTTTTTACTGACTTAAGTACATCTTGTGATTTGTAATCTCTCCTCTTGATCATTAAATATGGTCCCACCCTTAAGTTACACAGTACTATCATCTGATCACTTAAATTCAAACTTTCTACATCTTAATTAACAGATATTCATGCACTTTGTACTTTTAAGTTTAATATTTTTAAGAAAGGAATTAAAGTTATTGAGCTTGATTTTGACAAATGTTTCACGTTCAGATTATTTCATTTAATCATTTCTAATGCCACATCCTGATAGGAAATTTACTGAAAATTTTGTTAAATCTTCCAGATTCAGTTGATAAAATACTGAATGTGGATGGAAGTATTTTTACGGTAGTGTGTTTTATTTTGTAGTTTATTTTAATCAAAGAAGTACTGCTATCACTAAGTAAATGTTGTGTTAATGAAGTTAATCATTAAATGGTTCTTGTGAGTGAAAGCTCAAATTGGATAAAGCTAGAAAAGAGGAAACTAGTCAAACATTATATATAAAAGTTGTGTGTGTGAATGTTATTACTAAAAGAACCCTAAACGAAATTTCTTTAATTCTTATAGAAATGTTTTTCTATAGAGATGAGTAACAGTGCTTTCTCCATTTACAAACATCACTTGTTTTCTTGGATAGATTGTGTAGGCAGAGTATTCATGATGAAACTATGTAGAATGGACGGCAACTGCCTGTTGTAAAGACACAGAATACTATAAAGATCGACAACACATTACACACCGACCTGAAGATGAAAGGCAGAAGACTTTCGAAATGCCATCCTCTACATTTGTGTCTCTACAACAGGCAGATGCCATCCATTCTACAAAGTTTCATCATCACTTGTTTTATTTCTACAACTTACCAATAAGTATGTAGTTTACAGGCAGCTTGAAATTACCCAGTCTGAATTGTACTTTTTTGTTATATCTTACAAAAAATTTTACAAGCTTTATATGCATTTATTTATTTATTTATTCATATATGGCAGCTTGTAGTCTCATGTACTGGATGATTGGACAAACTAAGATCAAGAAAAGTTCCTCCTATGGTAAAGGTCACAATCATTCAAGCAAGACTGGAAAGAATCAAGAAACCATTTTGAGTTATCAAAAGTTAGGGCTTAATGGTCATCCTGAGGATTCAGTAAAAAATTATAATGGGCACATTCAGTAGAAAATGGTAATGAGCATAGCTTTAATGACATTACTAAGAAAAGGAAGGATCGGTTAACTTGAGAATATGTTTGTATTGTTGATAAAAGCACATGAATGTTTGGAGTTAAACTTTTTTTTTTTGCACATATTTGTGTTGTGACTGTTAATTTACTAAAAAATAAATGATTAAAAAATTACCAGCGATAATGAAAATATTGTTTACAATGAACTGATTATGATAGTTAATTTGAGCATTCTTCATAACATACTTATCTCAAACTCATAATTTTAGTGCTACACTTTTTTTTGGTGAGTATTTATGTCTGTTAAGGGAAAACCCTGAAGAGTTTTACTAATTACTTGGGAAGAAGAAACAAGGCTTTGTAAAACAAGAGTTTTCATGGTAACTGTATATAAACATAAGATAGGAAAATTGTTTACAGTACACTTAAGTGTAAAATTTGTTTAAGCTAGCAAAAAACTTATGGTTTAGACATGTTACCATTGCATTTTCACTTTCAGTATGAAAGTATGTTGGTAAGAGCTAGAGTTTTGTATGTAGTTGTCACATTAAACCCTATGTTGAAGTATGAAAGTACGTTGGTAAGAGCTAGAGTTTTGTATGTAGTTGTCGCATTAAACCCTATGTTGAAGTATGAAAGTACGTTGGTAAGAGCTAGAGTTTTGTGTGTAGTTGTCACATTAAACCCTATGTTGAAGTATGAAAGTACGTTGGTAAGAGCTAGTTTTGTATGTAGTTGTCACATTAAACCCTATGTTGAAGTATGAAAGTATGTTGGTAAGAGCTAGAGTTTTGTATGTAGTTGTCACATTAAACCCTATGTTGAAGTATGAAAGTATGTTGGTA